TTTGTCTAACGCCATTTCTTTCTTTGACACTTTACACTTAGACTTTCATTAGTTGTCAATGCACATTAGCTCCGTTTGCCTTCACCGCATACCAAAAAGTTACACTTAACACCCACACGAGGAGCTCGATGGCGTAAGTGGCTAGCGCGTTCGTCTGCGCTCGTTGAAGTTAAGCAACTTTCACAGTTGTCGGTTATTGGATGAGTGACCAAAAATTATTATCTCGAGCTCCCCTGTGCTACGGAAGGCACGTTAAGCCGTGTTGGTCCCGGCTACATCTGTAGTCGTTAGCACCCGCCAATCCGCACTGGGCCCGCGTGGTGGCCCAATCTTCTTATTCCATCCATAGGGAAGTCCTGTGCCCCAGCAGTGGGGACTTTAGTAGGCTGATGATGATGATAATTATGAATACCCACACCGCCAGTTAATACCCAGACTTTTATTCGCATATACTAGTATAACGCATACTGACTAACTTAACTAACATAACTTTATTCGGTAGTGACGTCGAGTACTGGTCGCGTGATTGGTCGGTAGTGCAGTGAAGCGGATCTCGCCGTCTCGTTCGCGCTGCCGTTGAAACTTAACGTGCTGTTTCGTTCGGGTCGGTAATGCAGTGACGCGGATCTCGCCGTCTCGTTCGCGCTGCAGTTGAAACTTAACGTGCTGTTTCGTTCGGGTCGGTAATGCAGTGACGCGGATCTCGCCGTCTCGTTCGCGCTGCCGTTGAAACTTAACGTGCTGTTTCGTTCGGGTCGGTAATGCAGTGACGCGGATCTCGCCGTCTCGTTCGCGCTGCAGTTGAAACTTAACGTGCTGTTTCGTTCGGGTCGGTAATGCAGTGACGCGGATCTCGCCGTCTCGTTCGCGCTGCAGTTGAAACTTAACGTGCTGTTTCGTTCGGGTCGGTAATGCAGTGACGCGGATCTCGCCGTCTCGTTAGCGCTGCCGTTGCAACTTAACGTGCTGTTTCGTTCGGGTCGGTAATGCAGTGACGCGGATCTCGCCGTCTCGTTCGCGCTGCCGTTGAAACTTAACGTGCTGTTTCGTTCGGGTCGGTAATGCAGTGACGCGGATCTCGCCGTCTCGTTCGCGCTGCCGTTGAAACTTAACGTGCTGTTTCGTTCGGGTCGGTAATGCAGTGACGCGGATCTCGCCGTCCCGTTCGCGCTGCCGTGGGATCAGTTTTTGTTTGATGCAAGTATGAGTATACTAGTACTGCGTATCGTAATCCACCATTAGCGAAACATGTAATTAAATATTGTAATAAAAGCTTGATAAATAACAAACCGAGCGATTCGTTCTGATTATTATTAATAATGGTTCCGTTGCTTAATTGAATTTCGTCATCCAATTTTTGTGGTGTAATAAAGTTACAAAGTGAAGGTGCCATCGGCTTCGTGTGAAGACTTAATGATAAATACATGAGGATAGAGAATATTATACACATGTACTAGCTGACCCAGCGAACTTTGTACCGCCATAAAAAATAAGGGTTGGTGGTAGAAGGGTGAAAATTTAGGGTTGTATGAATTTTTGTTTAATGTATCATAAAAAAATTAAAAAAAATATCTAAAATTGAAAAAAAAAATTAGGGGTAGATTACCCTTAACATTTAAGGGGATGAAAAATAGATGTTGTCCGATTCTCAGACCTACCCAATATGCACACAAAATTTCATGAGAATCGAGAAAGCCGTTTCGGAGGAGTTTAACCACAAACACCGCGACACGAGAATTTTATATATTAGAAGATTGCAATATTAGGATCTAAACGTAGATGAAATAAATATATTTCACTCAAAAGCTATGAAAAGGGGTATATATTTAATCATCATCATCATCAGCCTATTAATGTCCCCTGCTGGGGCACAGGCCTTCCCTATGGATGGAATAGGGAGATTGGGCCATGATCCACCACGCCAGCCCAGTGCGGATTGTTGCTGGTGATCGGCTTAACGTGCCTTCCGAAGCACGAAGGAGCTCGAAATAGTTAATTTTTGCTCATCCATCTAATGACCGACCACTGCGAAAGTTGATTAACTTCAAAGATCGCGGCCGAAAGCGCTAACCACTTGCGCCATCGAGTTTCTCTTCTCTCTCTTAACCCATTTCATGTATACTCACCGAAGAATCGGCATTTTGAAGATTTAGCGACAAGTAATATTTTCAATTCTCGTCATTCAATAATGATTATTTCTGAACGATTTTTGTTTCATAATCTATATATATAAAACTCAAAGGTGACTGACTGATCGGACGGATCGGGCTGAAATTTGGCATGCAGGTAGATGTTATAACGTAGGCAACCGCTAAGAAAGGATTTTGATCAATTCTACCCCGAAGCGAAGCGAGGGCGGGCCACTAGTCGTTCATAAGATTTTGACGACCTCCGTAACCGAATACTCGAGAGGTTCGAATCCCGGTGGTGGCAGATGTTCGTGTGATGAATATGTGCATTTGTACTTCAGTCATGGAGGTTAAATATGTATTTCTCAATAATTATACTTATATAATAGTATATGTATCTATTCGTTACCCTTGCATCACACAATACAAGCCTACAGTGCTTACTTTGGGGCTAGGCTAATTGGTGAGAGTGTTGGAAATACTTGTTCAATTATGAGAAAATGTATATTTCTTCTCTCATTACATCTGCTGCTGCTATTGAGTTATCCGTCGAACAAATTCGACTTAGTTTGCAACTGAATATGTGATTTATTTTTGCACTAGCTGTGCCCCGCGATGTTACATGCGGTTTGTTATGGATATTTTCCTGCAGTAAAACGTAGCCTATATGTTAATCCAGGGTGTCAGCTAACTCCATACAAAATTTTATTAAAATCGCTCCAGCCGTTCAGACGTGAAAAAGTAACAAACATACACACTCACAAACTTTTGCCTTTATAATATTAGTGTGATTCATAAAAAATTATCAATAAATAAAACTAGTTTTTTACGGGTTAGTGCACGAAACTTTATTTATTTATTGACGTTTCGTAGCCTTTACAGGCTACGTCGTCAGAATCAAATTTTATTTAATTTTGTCGAGCTACCTTCGAAAGACTTTCATTGAGCGTTCGGTTATTTCATTGTTCGATTTTCAAAGTTTAATTTATCAATGTATTCGTACTAACTCCGACTGTTATTTATGATAACAATTCTTGTTACGACGCAAAACAACGAAAACTTCAAATCAATTATCCAGGCATCCATTCCTAGTCCATTTGTAATGATACCTTTCATATGAATCGCGAAATCGTGATCCTGCAATTTGTCACACCACTAAGTGAAAATGTAACTACCCTCCAAGTTAAAATGAGTCTTATACCTCAATCTTTAGAGTCGAGCAAGTTGTTTCCGTATAGGGTCAAAGTTATTGTGTGAACTATGCAAGTTCTGAGATCTTATGTATTCTCTTGATGTCAGATTAACTAACACTGGAGGAAACCGTTTGTGTCAGAGAATTGAGGAACATTGGTTAATGGAAAATGTTTCGAGCATCGAGGTTGGTAAGCGTTTCCTTGTTTCGTCGAGTGAGTGAAATGAGCAAATTATGCGCTTGCATCTTGGATTAAAACAAAAAGGGTAGATACGGCACTAGCCTCACAAAAGTGATCCGCATGAATTGTGGTCCACGACCCTGTTCGCTTTAGTCACAAATTGACATGCATGTGAACGCCAAAAAGAAATATTGCTAATATTTTGTGTTTATATGATAAAACAATGCCTAAGTGTGTTTTTAAAAAGTGCTCAAATTGTTCAAGAACTAAAAATGACACCCACAGCATCACTTTTCATTCGTAAGTATTATAAAATATATTTTTTCATAAAAATTGCTGTTTGTTTTGAATCTTATATGGTAGTGACGTCGAGTACTGGTCGCGTGATTGGTCGGTAGTGCAGTGACGCGGATCTCGCCGTCTCGTTCGCGCTGCCGTTGAAACTCAACGTGCTGTTTCGTTCGGGTCGGTAATGCAGTGTCGCTGATCTCGCCATCCCGTTCGCGCTGCCGTGGGATCAGTTTTTGTTTGATGCAAGTTTGAGCGTACCGTATCTACCCTTTTTGTTTTAATCTAAGGCTTGCAATCTTGAAGTCAGATGGGTGCAGTGAAGATGAGTCTATATCATTCTTACATATTTATTTCTCAATTTTAATACCAGCGAGAATGTACTGGTCTCACACATCATCAGCCTACTAATGTCCCCATTGCTGGGGCATAGGCCTTCCCTATGTGTGGGATAAAGAGATTGGGCCATGACCCACCCCGCGGGCCCAGTGCGATTTGATGGGTGCTAACGACCGCAGACGAAGCCGGGACCAATGGCTTAACGTGCCCCTATTCGGTATGCGGTGAAGGTAAGCGGTGCTAATGTGCATTGACAATTAATAAAAGGTCTAAGTGTTAAGTGTCAAAGAAAGAAAAAGCGTTAAGTTTTTAGTGTGGGTTTAATTCTCTGCAACTACAACTTAAACCCAAATAAACACAAGCAGCTTGTTAAAATATCACTACTTATGATATAGAGTATTTTTTTCTTTTTATACGAGGCGCAAAAAAATAGCCGACCTTACCTGGCAGGTAAGACCTTACCTCGACCTAATAAAAAGCTACTACCTACTACTAGATTTGTCTACATTTTGTCACAGAGGAAGTTGCAAAGAGTACAAGTTGCCATTAAGTTGCTCATTGCACAGAACACAGATAGAGTTTGTACGGGAACCGATGTCGCCGGCTCGCCCCCACTACACTTCCACCTAATAGATAAAAGCCAATCAAACGACGCGACATCAAACAACCGAACCAATCAGCTCTCACACCACAGAGCAACGACGCAATCAGAACCAAGTTTTAGTCAACTAGCATTTGCTCACACATAACTGTGGCGCTCCTCGCCCACAAGGCCCTTTTTGTTTTCTGTAGCTCATTCACACAAACTAAAAATCCCTAGCCCTTGCTAGATTAGCTAAGTACAAGGTTATATATGTATGTACCTATATAGTTAGATACCAGGTCTCCTAATCTGGCGATTTCCCAACAAGTGCCACTGAGTGCCACCGGTCAGATTATCAATTAGCGCGGTCGGTTCGGACGCGGTTTCGTCACACGCGTAGGAGCGGGCTAGCTCGGCTGCCCACGCGCCCGGCGACCTTTCCGCTATGGACTGAGGTGGTGCTTGCTTCTTGGCAACTACCTTAAACCTTGTAAGTTACAAATAACTAATCGATTCGAACGCCTTTCTTGCTAAAATAACATGAAAACAGCCATATCTTGACAAAACCTTAAGCTTCTAGACAAAACTTTAAGCTAAAGTCTAAACTATAATGCGGCAAATTGAAATATGATCTAAAAACTGAGCATATTTTCATCTTCTGTTCTTTTTTTTGCTATCCATTTGTACTGTTTCATTCCACTAAAAGTACCAGACGATGGTACTTCAAACTTCATAGAATGCATAAACGCTAGCGGAAATACCCTACATGTTTCATAATTAATTAACATTGCATTGCATACATGAAAGGAGAGAAACTCACTTACTACTAGATACTTATTTATTTCTCACAAATAAAAAGTTCTTAAACACTATCGCATCATCCTTAAACAGCGCAGCTTATTAAGCCAGCCCATCTTCATATAAGCTGTAGTGAAAGTGTCGAATGATGTTAAGACTCACGATTCCAAATAATCGTTTCTAACATATATCGATTCGTCTCGGCGAAATCGATAAAGAGATCGTTATCGTCCGAGCACGAAAGTTCCTCCCCCGAGGCGACGCAAAATTATTATCATCATACTTACAATATATATAATTTATTTAAATTCATTGCGTGTGAATTGCAAATTGAAAGCGCCCGTGCAAATATAAATGTCTCGTTAATACCTTTTAGCCCGTGGCTAAAGCCAATTAACACCAGGTGATACGATAAACTTATCTCCCATACGTGACAGAGCCGTTTGCGTGATTTAAAAAATGGTTGCCTGTAAAGTCGGTTTTACGGGCGAAGATTTTACGTGACAACGTCTTTTTCTCGGTAGAATATTTATTGATATGAATATAATTAAATTGCACAATAGGAACAAGGAATTGAATGAAAATAAGAATTGCACAAATTTTAACTATAGAAATATATATAATACGTCAAAAAAACATATTACAATGCATTGTGCTTGTGAATACCATCGTAGCATGCAACCACGCTACGACGATTCGTAGCAAACTTGCTACACGGCTACGGGGTTCCAGCATGCTACGAGACTCATCGTAACGTTACCGAGCGTTACACTTTTTCATAAGTGACTCCCAGCCGCAACCTAATTTAAGACGTTGTCACGTCAAAAGAAACTCGACGAAATTAATTCTTCCCGAGTCACTGCAAAAGGTTAATAAGCGGAGTTATTCTGTCAGCATAAAGCTTCGCAATTAGCATGTGTCATTGAAATTACCGTATGAAGGAAAAATTAAGAAAGCATCTCTTATCTATTAGACAAGTCCGTCCGTCCGTCCGTGGTGCTGTTTCAGCGGCCAAACCGTAAGAGATAGATATAGAGAATGTTTAAGTTATAAGTTAAGAATAGTCTGATAAGACTAGAAACCGGATGTGAGTAACGTAGCACTTCCGGTTTTCGAGAAATCACGTGATTTCTATTTCAAACGAAACCACACAAAATCTCCGAAGTTCTCAATTAATTTTTTTTTTTGGTGAACATTTTGTTCACTGGTTTGCTAGTCTTCCATAATTGTCCTGCTTTTGTTTTTAATTCGCCCTAACACAATTCTAGCTGTGTCCAAGCAAAGTCCTTACATTGGTTGCTTTCCAATTACAGCATTATAGCGCATTACGCGGCATAATGCTTAACGTTGAGTGTTCCAACTACAGCAACGCTTCGCACAATTGAGCACTCTCAAAAGTGATGCTTTCGTGTGATGCGTGCAATTGTACCAACTTAGAGACAGAAAATTAACAAGTGTTTTTTCTTTAAGTTGGTATTGATCGAAATGTTTTATTTATATGTTATCGTTAGTAATATTATTTATTGTTGAAAAATTATTAAAGCTTTCGTTTCATTAAATTGTTTTTTTTTTAAATATCCAAAGTTCATTCAAACTGTTAAAAAATGAAGGTACAAACATTGACTTTTTTTTTCAACACTGAACTTAGCGCACTCTGCTGGTGCATTTGAAAACTAATTCACGTTCCAATTAAGCATCAGCATAATTGGGCATTAAGCGGCACTGAGTCGCATTATGCTCTGTAATTGGAGAGCATACATTGTCTAATAACAAAAACGTACATTAAGATTAGAGATGCACCGAACATTCGGCCGTATAAATATACGGCCGAATGTTCGGTGCATCTCTATCAATACAAATGTATTCGGTATATTTTTTAAAGTTCGTATTTGGCCGAATATTCGGTTGATGTGCCGAATGATTACCGAATAATTAAATTATTATTATTATTTCTAAACAATGTTTTCCTTTCATAATTAAGTTTCATTAAAAAGGTATGGTTCATTGTGAGAGCTGTTGGTACACAGTTTTTATAACTGAATACATACATAAAGTCACAGGGGTAGGCAGAGATTACTTCTTTCCACTTGCTAGCTACGATCCTTACATACTTCTTTCGCTTCATCTACATTCATCACTACAGTCCTCATACATGCTCGACGATTTCGGGTAGTTTTGACCTTTTATAAATGAAAGACACCCTTATTTGTGTAACAATTCTTTATTGACAAAATACTTATTAAAATTACCATAAATAGAAAAAATAGTAAGTCTTATTTAGTAATAATCATCAATTAAATAATTATAATTAGAACGCACCCGTCTCCTGTAGAGTGCAGCATGGACTTGTATAAACCTGTTTACCGCGCAAAATTGGACCGAATCATTCGGTTCGGTACATTTGGAACCGAATATTCTGCCGAACATTCGACACATCTCTAAGATTAAAAAAAAAAAAACCATTACGTACTAACATCGAGCATGACAGAATGCGAAATGTCATTATAGTTGCCAAACATCAATAAGACTGTCATGATCCCGTGTTATCTAAATACCTTTTAAAAAGACAAGGAACTAGATTAAAAAAAAACATTATCAGTTACAAAATATAGCAAGTATTTTTTGTCACAAAACATCATCGTAAAAGCAAATAATTGTGTCCCATCGTTATTTGATTGACAATAATGTGGTTTTTGCGTTTTTTCTCTCCATATTGTCAATATGTCAATCCGTCAGTATTTTTTGGATATTACATTAAGCTGGGGCCTTGTTTAATTCTCGACAGGATGAGATTAACGATGTTTTACATGCCGTCAAGTATGAAATTGTAGGCGGAGAAGAATAAGACAAAAATAAAAGTGACTGTTCAGTAATTGTTTTTTTTACCTTCCGGGCACACTACCTATTCAATTATTTAACTAACTTTTAAATATTTTTGTGCCTGGGTGCTTTTGACGTTTCATGATATTAGCAGGAACTTTATTGTAATAAATTACTTAATCTTGATCTGCACTCATAGCACTTTTCGTGGTATAAGCAATAATGTTTAATATCGATATTATGTTTGTAACTTTTCAGACATTAGCATAGCTTCTCATTTAACATTGTAATTTATAATCTTCACGAAAACTGATTTTCATGAAACCTTTTCATTATTTTTAACGTAATATTGGTGACGATTCTGGAATGATTCTCTAAACTTAAAACTAAATTTAACATCAGTCTCTCCTTTTCATTCTGTATAGAGAATGACAAGGATACACTGTTGTCAAATTTAAGTTTAGGTTTAGAGGATCATGCCAGAATCGACACTAATATCTTATAAAGGTACAAATACTCAGATTTTATTTTGCAATTGTATACCAACCAAAATTAATATATTATTTCTTTATCTTTATTTTCTTTTAACAGTCATTTATCACAGAACGCAACCGCAATCTAAAGATAAGCTCGTATCAGATTAGTCTTCCTTTAAAAACATTGCTAAGTAAGTGTAAAAATTACATACATTTTCAAAATCAACTCTGGTTACTAAAAGGTTATCTACATCAATTATAATTTAAACATCACTTTGTTCTGCTCCCAAAAGTCTTCCAAGATCTAAGTCTCTTCAAAGTCAATCAAAGTCCGGTTCGGTCAGATTTTAAGTTGACATGATCGTACAGAGGTACGGTCAAGGCTACATTTTTGACAACTCAAGAAAATGATCGAATCCAAAGATTGATCGCTCACTGTCCGCTGCCGCACAATTCGTTTCAATCAGACCACCGGTAGATGAAATAATTTCGCTTTGGACCACAGATTTGCGTACGAAAAGACATGGCATCGAAAATTCGTAGAACCCATATTTTTAATAACTATCGGATACGATTTTATTTATTTTTAAGCATTTAACTGCTAGATGTTTAAATCTAAAGAAAAGTTTACTAGAAAAATAGGGCCGTGGTAGTATAATGGTCAGTGCATTCGCCCGGATAGCGAAGGATGCGGGTTCGAGTCCCCTCCGCTGCCTGGTCCGCGTGGATTTTTTTTTCTAGTAAACTTTTCTTTAGATTTAAACTATCGGATAGTTTAATTTTGTATGATTCAATATTGAAATTAGTACAATCTAAAATATTGATGTATATGACTTATAATAAAAAAAAGTTGTGACATTTGTAAAAAATAATTATTGTTAATTATTTAACCATCCTACGCCTCATCATCGCTTTACATCAGGTGAGATTGTGGTCAAATGCATTGCCTATTTTGTATAAAAAAAAAACCAATAGAAACCAGTAAATTGGAAGAAGGTGACTTAAGTGGTCAGAGAAATTACATGAAAAGAAGTTTTTTTTAATGACAACGATTCACGAACAACATATAATTTTACATTACAATTTGAAAATATGTATAAATATCATACTTAAAAATATGCTTTTTACAAGCATTCACGTAAATACAAATGAACTACAATGACAGATTAAACAAACAAAAAATATAACTACCATCATAAAAAACAGGTATACTGAATCATAATATTATTAAGTCTGTGTTACGGTCCAATTTAATTTTTTTCCACAAACATCTTCTTAAATACGCGCTCAAAATCGTCCAACGTCGACTCTGTAGTCTTATAAATCATTGTAGGTACGCATACACCGGTATAGAGGAGCACACCAGAGGTGGTTAATATAGCGTCT